GGTAGTTCGAAGTGAGAAGTCAACTGCCGGTTAATAGACTTTTTTGCCGTATGAATATACGTTGCCCAGGGTGCACCACGTGGATGTAAGTCTATCGCACACCCCCCAATAAGTAACTTGAATATCCATTTGCGGCACTGGGGTTGAATGCGATCAAAACAATGCGTTATCGGAATGAGAGTGTGATCAATTTTCAATTTCAAACTGGTGAAATAGAGACATTTGAGAAGTTTTAAGCGTATGGAGAGCGATTCTTTCAGAAAACTGTTTTTTACATGTTTAAAAGAGAGGAATTTTCTACTTATTAGTAATTAAGCATTTTTTTGTCAACGTAGATTTTACATCAACTTCCTCATTTTTAACAAATTTTAGTAAATTAGTAGTACTGAGCGTAGTAGAATTAGCTATTTCTGGCCAAATAAGTTGAAAATTCACCGGAATAAAATTGCAGTCGGCATGTTTACATTTATATTTCAATTGACCAAAATCTAGTATTAGTGACAATTTCGCCCATAACACCAATTCTTAAGCCTTGTTAAGTGAGGAAGGATTGTATCAAGTAACGAGAAGATACGGAAGCCTAGAAAACTGAGAATTGGTTTTCACTGAGAATGGAACTGATATGTGTAAAAAAGGTGAAATACGAATCCATGTTTAAGTTTCTCATTAATTTTTCAAATCCCTTAGGAGACCGTACGGTCCTCTTTCAAAATAAGCTCCATTGATACTAGACCCTTAACAGAAGGCGCTATTGAAACACGTTCAATACGTCTACAGCCTTCGCTTGATATACCACCAAAACTTATAACATCGGCAGCATCAGACACACGTGAATATGGTTTGGTGCGTTCTTCAAAAACTTATTTGGGCGTTAAAAGGTTAAACCACCACATCCGTATTATTACACAAAAAATGCTTTGATCTCCAAATTCGGTTGCTCAAATTGACGGAAAACTTTTCAGTGAAACTATAAGTTGCCTCTCTAGCAAGATGTGCAATTTTATTACTAATCCTAATCATGCGCCAAGAATAACAATTTCTTGATCATTATTTAAAAAAATAATTCTATTTTTTTCACGTTTTTGTCTATTTTAATTGCGTTTAGTTTGTCCCATTCGATGATTTTGTCAGCCTAACGTCAGTTATGGATACCAAGCGCCAGCTTGCAAGAGCAGTGTTAGCCGAAATTCCCGAACAACTAATCTCCTATATGCGCTCAAAGGGCTATAAGCCCCGAAACCTAACTCGCAAACAGAGCCATAAGAAGAGGACAGAACTAGCGAACAACAATGCCGGCAGCGTGCATGTCGGCAATTCGCACACTCACTCCCGACACATCCAACAACCCATGGATTCACCGTCTGCACCTCCATTTGATTTTTGACTTGAGATACATTCCTCTTTTACACCCGATCTCACTTACTTATTTATTTATTCGAGCCCGATTGAACCCTTCCATCAAGCTCTATTTAAGCCCCTCCCCCCCCCCTCCCTGCATTCACTTCTCCGTTTACCCTCAGGAAGCTTCTCGCAAGCTCTTGAATGATAACTGTTTATGAGAGCTCTTAGTTCATTAGTAACACACTGATGAATTTGGAGGTGGGAGTTCTCATATCCACCAAACTCTTTGGTCTGCACTGCCTTTTCTTACAATCACTAATCTCAAGCCTCATGTTATGTAAAAATTCGAGACAAAATTGAGTGCGTTGATATATATATATATAATATCGCTTCGTGTTATTGCCGTATAGATTGTAGAATTTTCATTATCGCCTAATTAACCTAGATGCATTTCCCGATGAGAGAACCAACGCATATTTCAAATAGACAAGAGAAGGCGTAGCGGTTAAAGCACTTTTGTAGAGAGGAGGGAAGAATGTTCATTGGGCCGCTGATTTGTTGTGGAGGAAGAAGCGAAGGTCAATGTTTGGTTGAGCTCCCAGATCTTTTGGGTATTAATATAAACCAGAAGCAGATTGTAGGAGGCTAAAAATTTGAGCACAGCACAGGAGTATGGAGAACACCCTGTGATCAAGATAGCTTGATTTCAAATGTGTCCGGTAAATAAGATAAAAGTGTAAGAATCAAGTTGGAGTTAGAATCCTCAGTTATTCCATAATATTTTGTAACCAAATACTTTTTCAACAGGAAAGGATAGAAACAGGTTTTCAATTTCTTACCAATCAAAATTTCATTCAAATTTTCTCCGGCTATGAGTTTACCTATTCAATCATGTTACTTAAACTCGAGTTATGAAAATTTTATTATCAACTCACCGTATGGATGTTCATTATATGAAAATATGTGCTAATGTCTTCCCTTTTAAATAATCGTAAATATACCACTTCACCCAAAGATGGACATACAAATTAGTATGTTATAGGACGAGGAGGGTTTATATTGACTTGGATAAGGATCAACTTGAACTCAGTATTTTTTCTAAGAACCTCAAAGCGTACTTTCAATTGTGTATCAAATCGTGGGACAATCTTTTTACGGCTTCTTGATTAACCTTTGACCCAATTTATTATATGTTATTATTACGTGATTTCATATCCACCTATTGCTGATGCCACAACTAAAAAGCTGTTGTCTAAATAATAGAATGACGTAGTTCTGCATACTGGTCGTAATCGTTCAAATATGATTGGTTACTGAGATTGGAGGGTAATTTGAAGAGCCTCCTAAATTTTACTTGGTGAGCTAACTCACTTCGAAGTACAGCAAGTTGCAAAATAACTTGTTACCCCACATCATTTCCTTTTTGACATCTCATCATACATGGCATTGCTGGCTCTCAGAGATAACCAATAGTTACTTCAATAAACTACTATTGTACTCCTTTCTCACAAGTTATCTGGAGTACTCAGTATTGTTATCTTTTTACTTTCAGCAACATGCACCATTAATTCCTATTCACCATTTCAATACATACCTAATATATGCCAAGCACTTAGGAATTAAATCTAACTGATAACGTATTCGCGATTCGTGTGACATGTTTAAATTTCATTAAATTAAATATATTCAAGCATTGAAAGTGTAATTAGCAGGTCAATTATACCAGTTTCTTGAAAAAAAACAATAGATTTAATCCAAGACAATTATATTTTGTTCCACGTTAATAATTTTAGTTGTCCTTGGTAATATAATTGCTTAATTTTTTTCCAATTTCGGTTAAATTTTTAGACTTGAGTTGAGAGTGACCTTTTGCTATTCCAATTAGTTTAGACTTTTGTCGTAGGATTGTTTTAAATGTCAAAGAAGCAATCGTAATGGTATTTTTCAACAGAAAGTGAGAAATAAAAGGCATGACTGCAAGAAAAAAAGAAACATTTTACAAATTTACCTGGCAATTTGCTTTAAGATTATTCTATCTGCCTGTTACGATTATTCAGAAGGAAATGCCCTAGTTACTTAGGGATTTGACGTCTTCATTAGAAGAAGATTGGATGGTTATCTCTGGAGAAAATGTCTTTGAAAGAAGCAAAACGAAGGTAGATTCTACGAAGAAAGAACGTGCTAGATTATACAACTTATACAACCTCTAACACCAACTTAAATAAAGTCCATAACATAAGTGTGTGTATATTCAATTTACATGAGGTTTAAGACAGAATATTCAACCAACTGGGCTTAAAACTATTCCGTTTTTATGAAATTTTTTGCCAATAAGCGCATGCATAATTACCCCCCACCCCCGGACAAAGGAATTTGCTTCAAAGTCTGAGCTAAGAATATCCACATTGTCACAAAACACAAATACCTTTATTTTCGAATAAAAGTGGTTTAATGCAACATACTAATTACCTTCTAATTTCTTTTCCAAATGTTTTTATTTAAACAAAATAATGCCATTATAGATCATTTGCCTTATTATCTAATTAAAAAACCAATATTTAATCATGATTCAATTGTGAATTCATTTTTTTGGAAGTTATCTTAGAATTGACAACGATTGTTGAACATAACGAGAAAGATGGAACACTAGTACAAAGTATGATTGCATATATTAATAAATAAGTAAATAAATTAATATATATATATATATATATATATTGCGACTGATTAATTCCGAAGAAAGAACTCCACAAGAGATATTCACAACTGCAAATTAAAGGTGAGGTAACTTCAAAAAATTCCAGATGCACGCTCATTACCCAGACACCACCTTGAGCTTAGTAACTAATAAAAGTTAAAAAAATCTTTGTGCGATTCACCCTGCTCACAAACCTTTACTAATAATTTATTATCGTGGGGTGTGCAATAGACTTACCTCCACGTGGTGCACCCTGGGCAACGTATACTCATACGGCAAAAAAGTCTATTATTCGGCAGTTGACTTCTGACTTCAAACTACCTTTACCCCACTGTATGTCATATTCGACCACTTCCACAGTACTAACCTCACCTTTCATCTACCCTTGTATCTACATGTCTCCTTTAAATCTGTTAATCATTATTCTGTCCACTGTCTCGTCTTTTTGTCACTTTGATTTTTCTCCTCCTCTCTATGAAGTCCGAATTCAGCTAAATGGCTGATGATAGCTATCAAAACGCCTGCCATTTGAAATGAATAATTTATTATCATAAAATGCGAGGTATGCTTGCTGTCAAGGAGAAAATGGAAGCAGTCGGGTTTTTAATTTTTTCGAAGATATCAACCTTTCTTTCATTTTATTTTGAAAATAACATTTAATAATAATTTGTTTTTTTTCGTAGTTAGGAATAAACTTTTTGATAGAAGGCGGTTCCGGATTGAGTGAATAGTTTTGATTAAAGACTCCTTTTTTTAAATAATCATCCCTCAACTCAATTGTAGACATTTTGCATCGTTATTTGGGATTAGACCACATGTTTACCAAATAATCATATAATAATTCAG